CCCTGCGCGTCTGCTCCGCCTCACCGTCTTCTGCCCTGCGTCGTCTGGCGACGGGTCCTCCATAGTCGGTCGAAGTCGCCGCCCTCCTCGTGCCTCTTCCCAACGTTCCCTCGGCGGCCGATGCCGTCTGCTCCGGCTCCCCAGTCCCCGGGTCTGCCCTGCTCTCGTCTGCGCTAGTTTCTGCTTCGTCCTCACCGGCGTCTCTCCTCTTCCCTCTCCCCTTCTTGTATGCTTTGCACATCGCGTCGATTCCTGTTCGCGTGAGCACCAGCCTGAAGCCCGCCCAGCATCTGAACCGCTCCCTAAGTCGAAGGAGCATCATCAGTCTCACCCACTTCGCTCTCTGCCCACCGTCTCCGCTCCCTCCCGCTTGAGCCGCCGTCGTGGCCCTCGTTCGTCCCACTGGCTGTTGGCCTGTTCCCACGTTACCTCCATTATCCCTCCTCCTCCGCGACTCCCTCAAGGCTGGCCGGGCCTCCTTCCACCCAGCGAAGAGCTTCCTCAGCCACTCGATGTGTTCCTCTCTCTTCATTATGCGCGCCGTAGCCTCATCATTGAGCTGGATCCACCTCTGCACCGCTCCCGTCGCCGCCTCGGCCACGACTTGCAAGTTCCTCGTGACCCCGGCGCCAAGGTCCCTCCGACTCTTCTCCGGGAGATCATCTACCAGCGCCGGCAACACCCCCCCGACGGCTGGTGCTAGTGCATCGTACCCGTCCTCATCCAGCGCCCTATAGCGTGAGCCCTTCAGCGCAGCGACATGCGCTATTCTCAGCGTCTTCAGCGTATCCTTGGAGTCGGGTGCCGCCTGCGCTACTTTGCTGATCGCCGTCCCCGTCTGCGCTCGCGCTACTCTGAGGAACCATCTGGCCTGCTCCCTATTCCCCGGGCAGGCGCCGCTAAGCAAGTGCGCCATTGTCGCTCTAGGCGGGTTCTCATCTTCCTCGGTCCATTGCTGCGCGGCTTTCCGCACGATCGGGCACAGCGGGTCCCGCTTTATGTTCGTTCGTACGTGCATCCGCGGCGCCCAGCGCGGTGCCAGCGGCTCCCATACCTCTAAGAGGCCACCCACCTCCGTATAGACCCTTATATCCGCGGTTTACGCCCAATAGAGGCAGCTGCAAGAGGGCCCGGACGGGCACTGCGGCACACACTGCTCGCTGCTCGGCCATGCGGTAGCGTCTGGTGATGCCGCCCCTGCGCGGGCGGGGGCGTCTCGCTCGGGAGCAACTGCGCCGCGCAGCGCAGGTTCGAGGGTCGCGGTGGGTGGGTGCACTGGAAGACGTAGCGGTCGAGAAAGCGCTCAGCGACCGCTACGTCTCGAGGATGGAGCCGTCGCGCGGACCCGACCGGCCGACCGGCAGTAGCAGCAGGCGCCGGAGGGCGCGGGAGGCAGCGGCGACACCTCGGGCCAGAAGCGCGAGCCCTAGGCTGGTGAGGGGGCCCGCTCATGCGTAAACGGCTCTGGGACTTAGCTAAATCGCGCATCGAAATCGGGACGATTTTGCAACCGGCTCGTGCAGCTGTGGAACAGGCCACGCCCATAGGGCGCCGAGCGCGCCAGCTGCAGCCCTGCAGTTCTCGATACTGAGCCCTCCTCCCGACCCGCTCTTGATGTCCATCCGGTCCGCGCCGTCCAGCTGGGCGACGCCGTCGCGTACGAGCCGGCCTCGACGCGCTCGCGGCTGCCGCGGCGGCCTCGGAGGCGCGCTCGGCGAGCGGCCGCGCTCGGCGGTGCTCCTGCTGCTGCCGTGCCGCCGAGCGGCGTCGAGGCTCCAGAGAGGCGATGCCAGTGACCGGCCGCGTCGGAGGCCTCGCTCCGGTCAAGTTCCTCGCGCTCTCTCCACCTCTCTCGCCGCAGTTGCGTAGGCGACAAAATGAGCTAGCTCGCGAAAATCACAAACAGTTGGAGTGGGAAGGGGTGCTGGGCCCGAGCCTGCTTGACACTGCGGACACGGTCCGTCTGCGTCATTCCCCCCAGGCTGATTCGCCGTCTCGTACTTCCTCGCGCTTTTTCTCACCCTTGCCCAGAAGCTTCCCACGCCAAAATGCGGCGCGATGCAGTCCTGCTCGTGGAGGTTTGAACAGAATCCAGTGCGGTGCAGTGTGGCAGCTTGCGAGGAGCGGTGACGGGTCGTTTGCCCGTGGAGCCAGTTTGCCAAACCGGGAGGGGCAGAGCGCGGGGCCGCTCGCACTGTCACACCTCGCACATCCCGTCCTGGACACATCACTCGTGGATAGTGCGCAGCCGCCGCCGTGTGCGCCAATTCGTCGAGAGTGCGCAATGACCGGACGCTCGGGAAAGGTTTATGTAAGTACATTTGAAAATGGCCGAGTTCGTCTCAGTTATCGCCTCTCAGTTATATCGTGAGTCTTTGTCTCTGACGTCCGACGACATGTCACATGAAAGTCATGAACATGACAGGCGGCCGGTCTCGGGGTCTGAGACTCGCTGCTGACCGCCGACATTCCGCTCTCTGAGTCGTGAGTGTGCGCCCTGGAGGCCGGCCTCCCGAGTCGCCGGCGCCCAGTACGTCAAGCTCCCAGCTCATAGACTCAGAGAGGGACGTGGTGGGCGCAGAAGCGGGCGAGTGATGTCCGTTGCGAAAGCCCGAGGGCGGCTCGGCAGCCCCGGGTCGGCTGGCGAATAGCCTGCCGTGCCGTCAAAGAGCAGAACGCGTAAGCAGCGGCCGAGATGCGCTGTCCTCGGCCAGCGCGGGTCCTTCGTCGCGGCGTCGCGGTCTCCTGGTCGAGGAGACCGGCGCAAAGGGCGTGGCTCACTCGCGCGGCAGATTAGCGCGAGCTTCGGCCGAGCACAATGCGATTCGCCCCACCACCCATCCGAACGAGATTGAGTTCGGTCCGCGGGCACGTCGAGGGCGAATCACGCCACGCGGCGGTGGCGGCTCGGGCAACATACACACGTCCTCGAAATAGTAGCGCGCCGGAAGACCGAGGCAAAACTCCGCGCGCCCGAGACGACCTGCGCGGCGGGGACGGCTCTCTCGACTCCGCGTGCACGAGTGGGGGCCTCGGAAGCGGCGAGATGCGGCGCCGAGAGAGGGAGACATGTGCCGCTCTCGCGCCTGAGCGCCAAGCGCAGGCGTCGCGAGCTGGTGGCGGCGCCGTCGAGCGTCGCGAACGGTCCACCGCTCGCGCACGCGTGCAGCCGGTCCAGGGCGGCTAGGCAGAAAGAAGAATGGCGCGAATTGAGGCCGTACGCGCCGAGCGCGAGCCTTGTTCCAGAGCGGCTGGCTGTCGCACGAGCCGGGCACCGTCACAAGGTGGTGGCACAGCTCGCGTGTTACAAAACCTTGATTTGACCATTTGCGCAGAAAGGTACATCTCGGTGCCTTCCAGAGGCAGCTGCGACCCCGCCGA